GGGGGGGGGGGGGGGGGGGGCGGACCGATAAATTGTTTACGTGCATTCTTCATACGTGAGGAATTTTTTGGAGAGCGGAAAATTTCGCTGGTCGCCGCGGAAATGCGGGGAGACAACACGCTGATGGTATCAATATGCTGAAGGTGGACGGAATATCTTTTGGGGGAATTATAATGTATTGCGTTTTTTCTGGATGTTCGTGTGGGTAAAGTGAATTGATTTTGAGCATTTCTAGAGTGCATTCTGTTGAGTATACGAAGTACGCGATATTCACTATTTTTATTAGGGGAGGTTGGGGTAAAACGGACAGTTTTGACTTTTTTTTAAATGTTAATGAGGAGTTGAGATGTTGATGAAATTTGATAATGTTTTTTTTTCAGTGCAAAGAACAATTCTTTCTCTTTGTGACGAGTCTAAACTGAGCTCAATTGATAAATTTGTTTCTGAGTTATGAACAATTAAAAAAATGTCTAGTGTCCGTTTTACCCCGCCCTCCCCCATTAGAAAAAATCAATTTTTTCTAGGGTAAAAAATTGCGAAATTTTTCAAAAATTAAATTGACGAAATTTCCATAGAATTGCAATGCAAATCTAATTAAATTTCCGATCGAATGCCTCAGGGTTTTCAATTAAATTTTTTCGTACAAGCTACATTCTAAAATAAAACTATCAAAAATTATGAAATTACGAATAACAATTGTTCGAAAAATTCAATTCTACGTCAAGTTCAATATTGAAACAAAAATTTAAAAAACGCAATTTTCTTGAATTCTAAATTATAAAATGAAAAATGCACTCTCAACTGTCTGAAATTCCAAAAAATTTCTAACACTGCAATGCAATTTCTGTCATGAAATATTATGGGAGGACTGAAGCAAAATATTTTCGCAACACCAGAAGCCCCGGGGATGATTGAGGACTCGGTAGGCGTGAATACATAACAAAAAGGCGGGTTAAAAACCTCGGGTTATGAATCGACGAGAGTAAATGCATTTCGTTTGTTCATCTCGAATAAAATTCACGAGAGGTACGAGTCCTCCTCGATCGGTGTATCACAGAACCTGTTGCCGTCCTCTGGGTTTGGTAACGCGAGTCAAATAACTCGGTGAGACAACGTATGGACTGAGACCCGAATTCTGATTATAAAAATCTCAAGTATCCCACACTTGCGATTGCAATCCAATAGGGGGAGAACAAGTTTGTAGTTTCCAGTGAATGTCAGTGAATTTCAAAATTCACGTATGAAAAAAATTAGTAGAAAAACCTAGCGCGTCCTCTGAGAAGTTCTATTGAATTTCTATTGAAGTTCTATTGGAATTCTATTGGAAAATTATTTTTGTTATTGCGCCAATTCTATTGCAAATTCGATTGAAAAATTCCAAAAGTCTATAAATATTGATTTTTCTATAGAACTTATTTTGTTGGTATTTTTTCTATAAAAATTCTTGGGCATGAATTTTCCATGTTTTTTTTTCCTCAATTTAGTTATAAGAATTCTATAGAAAATTCTATCAGTTCAATAGAGACGATTTTATAGAAAAAATTTATAGAATTTCATCTTTTTATGGAACTTTTTCTATTTGAGATATTTTCTATAGGAATTCCTCGATATGAATTTTCCAAGGTTTTTCAACTCTATTTTTCGTCTTTTTCCATTGAGAGATCAAACAAATAATCGTTGAGAAATTCGAGTTGATGAATTTCTATAGAAAAAATCTCAATAGAATAAGTTGTATGAAAAAATGAGAATCTATTGATTTTTTTTTCTATAGAATATTTTTATTGAACATTTCTATAGAATTTCTATAGAAATGTATTGGGAATCAATAGATTTTTATATATGGTTTCTATGGAATCTCTGGAGGGGCTCTCTATAGAATGTCTATAGAATTGATCTACAGAATTTCTATAGAAACCTATAGAATTTTCCAGAAAATTCTATAGTAAATTCTGCTGGATTTCTATTGAATTTTTATCGAAAAATTCCGCAAGTTTACGGCACTTCTTGTAATAGAAAAAATTCAACACAAACATGTTGAACTTTAAAAATGCATTTCTACTGAATTTTCTATAGAACGTAAACATGTTCTATAGAAAATCGAACAAAAATTCAATAGAAATTCCCGGCAAACGCTCCCGCCTATTTCATTATTCTTTTATCTTTCATAATGTCATTTCCCTGAAAAAAAAGCATTCATCCCTCATTTTGTACAGAAAATAAAATCTCGATTCCCGCATTTAACTCCACTACTCGTTTTCTGAATTCTATTTCCACTTCAACCGGCGAATAAAAAGAAACAGGAGTAAAACCGCGGTGACAAGGCCAATAACCACAGACGCGCAAGCTGTCACCCATATATAAGGGCGTCAGGGTAATTCCGTCCAGGTAATTCGTTTAAATGTTCTCCTATGTAAAGTACTTCACTCCTCGGCAATTGGAAATTTATGGGAAAAAGGGGGCAATTTGGGCTTCTTTTTCTCTTCGGTCACAGGAAGGACGATGAGTTGGCGGTAAAGTAACTTCATCCATCAATGCGGCCGCTCCCACTAATTTTCTTCAAAGGTGTGAAATTTTCGAAACAGGTTTTAAGACTTCAAGGTCACCAGACGATGATACATCTCGGGCAGAATCCCCCCTGATGCCGATATGATTTATCGAAATTTACTCGTCCACAATTTTCTCAGTATGGCGGGAATTTATGCTCGATAAAGGTTGATAAAATGCGATTTGTTGTGACATTATGGCGGAAAATATTGCTCGATAAATAGGCGGCTGTCGGAGATCGATTTATGGGCTGTCGACCCTGCAATTCCAAGTTCTCTCGTAGTTCTATTAATTTTTTGTTGGAATTCCACAGAATTCTATTGAAAAATTCTAATTTTTTGCCAATTCTATTAAAATTCCATTTGTTTATCGAAAGAAGTATAGACGTTGATTTTTTTGCATAATTTATTGTGTTGGGATTTTTTAGATTTTTTTTAGAACTCTAATAGAACTTTAAGAGAATTCTTATAGAGTTCCAATAGGAATTCAATAGAACTTCTGTAATAATTCATGTTATGAATAATCTCCTTCCCGATAAATTCAGTTGTTCATGATTCTACACATTTACAATTTTTTTTCACGGTTGTTCATGAAATTCCCAGTTCTTTCGTTAGTTCTATAAATTTTTTATTGGAGTTCTATAGAATTCGATTGAGAAATTCTATTTTTTCGTCAATTCTATTAAAATTCCATTTGTTCACCGAAAGAACTATAGACGTTGATTTTTTATAGAATTAATTGTGTTGGGGTTTTGTCGAATTTTTTTTCCAGAATTCTAATAGAATTTTAAGAGAATTCTTATAGAGTTCCAAATGGAATTCAATACAATTTCTCAATGACGCCATTAATTTAATTAAGTAGAATTTTTTATACGCGTTTTTTAAATTATGAAACTACGTGAAATTTCATAATTTGAAAATAATTGAAGGGTCATGGTCATGAGGGTCACAAGGGTCAAAATAAGGGTCTCAATATCGTTCTATATTATAAAAATCCAAATCGACTTTTGTTGATGAAAATTTAGTGTTCAAAATTAAGACTCCAAAATTAAAGGTCAAAATAAGGGTCACGAGCGTCAGATTAAGGGTCACAAGGGTCAGAATAAGAATTACGAGGGTCCCCTCGTAATAAATAATAATGATAATAATAATAATAATAAATCTTCAATTCCGAAATTCCTTAAAAT